TAAATTCGACTGAAAGAGGACCGGCTCGGAAAAATCCGAAGGTGTGGGATTCGAACTCGGGAACCTCTCGCAGCCCTCAGACCGCGAGACCTCTGGGTCTCTAGTTTCTATTGTATTTGTTTCGCATCATGTCGTGTAATCTTTTTTGGAAAATACTAAAAAAAAAACTAGTTTTTATTATATTCGCATTTTTTACTTGTACTTGGAAGTTGATTGAACAAGTTGAGATGAGAACGATGTTGCGCAGCCTTGATATTGAATTCTTTCGGATCGATTGTGCGTTATAGTTAGTGCGCAGAAATAATTGACAATAAGTACATCGCGAGAGACGAGATTCAGCTCCGCGCGAGCTGAATGAACAGTACTGTGTGATTTCCCTTTCGGGGGTTGGAGGAAAAAGGCGAATGAGGGAATTCACGGACCATTAAAACGCTCGCAGGTATTTGTACGTAGATATCTGGTCTCGTGAGAGACAGCCATTCACGGATATCTTTCGGTACCGATGAATGAAGCATTCACACGCTTCTCTCGCACACGTGTGTGCGTCTTGTCTGAGCCGTTACTTTCGCCCGCGTTCGTGACCTTTGCGATTTCGTCGATCGAACGGCGCGACGCAAATACACATTTTGTTATTGGAGGTTTTGTTAAAATGTGCGCACGTAGGAACGCGCGATAAGATTTCCGACATCAAACAGTCCGAAGTAGTATCCGTCGCTTCCTCTCGTTACTTTTTTTTTCGAATCGTGCGAAGCTCGGGAGATGCAACAGCAAATCCCGAAAGATTTATCGCGAACGACAGTATTGAGAATCGCAGACGACACGTGACTCAACTGTCGATTCGTCCCGAGAAGTGAAAGGTGCTCTCGCGACAGTCCTTCTCACCTCTCTTCGTAGTTTTCTTTCTCTTCCGTCTTTCGCAAGTCACGTACTACAAGTCCGGAAACAATGGACATGAGGAATTTCGCGCTCGCAACGAGCGATTAAGAGTCGCCACTTTTTCAGAGACCGAACGGTCGTCGTCGAGTTTCCACACTCATTAATTATTCGACGATATTCGATCGACGAACCCCTTTCCGCGATGCGCGTTGATTAGGATCCTTTCGCCCATTTCTTCTCGCAATTTGCTGCACGTGTCACGAATATAATTGCGCGCACAAGCGTGCGTCTCTTTTCCTCTGACGTGAGAAACGTTTTATTCGAACACGTGTCAGGCCTTTCTCGTCCTGCTGTCCTTGAAGATCGTATCGATCTCTTTTGTACGAAACTCAATTCGGTATTTTCGACGATGGCGAAACTTGATTAATTGTCTCGTAACGAGCGACGTGAGGAACGAACCCGAAGCTTCCGAATTAAATTTCTCTTGTAAGATAATATTCGACCCCCCTATGCTTGTCTCATTTATTTACGACTTTATTTTCTTCCAATCAGTTAGAATTGATGAGATTTTTGCGGATTTTTTTACGAGATGCGACCAAAACGCACGAAGCGATAACCTTTGCGCGAATACGTTCCCGATTGGAAGTAGTCGTGGGAGGATTTGTCGGAGAAAGAGGGGAATAAAGAGAAGCGTTCGTTAGGATTTAAGGCTGTGCCATAAATCCGCACCGGCCATTCTTTAAACCCTTCGCGGCACGAATGGTGGTCACTCCGGCTTTTACCAGATTGTATTTCCCTGATATCTCCCCCTCCTTTTTGGATCTGTGAACGAAATTCGCCCACGTTCTTCCTTTCGTCGGCGGCGGCGACGGCGACGACTTTCCGCCGCCTGGCGATTGACGACGATACTCGCGACCGAAGTCTGCAGAATTTTGACGAATCTCATTGCGAGCGCAACGAGCCGAAAGAATCGACAATTTTGTCACGTCACTTGTGAATGCGTGTATGTTATTGCTATTATTCTTCAAATTTTCGTCGCGTATTTGTAAAATTCTCTTTAATCACATTCTCTTAAGAGACTTAGAGAGAAATTGCAGAAATCTGAATACTTGTCTTTTTTTTTTTTTTTTTTTTAAATCTAAAGTTAGTCGCTTCTGTCGCAAATTTGGGAGCATTATTATCCGCGCCGCATTCGAAAACTTTGTCGTCCTTCGAAACAAACGACAATTTACGGCCGGGTCCTGAGATAGCCGCGGTTAAATCGCGTGAAATACTGCTTTCGGCACGTTAGTCGCCGGCACAATTATAGATGGCCACCCTTTTGGGAGGGTGGAAAGAAAGAGAGAGACAGAGAGAGAGAGAGAGAGAGAGAGAGAGAGAGAGAGAGAGAGCCGCCACGCGGAGACACTCGTCTGCGATCCGGAAGGGCGCAATCAATGTAGCGTGCGGCGCTTCGATTTAAATTCATGAATAATTCCTCCCGCGGCTCTACGTCTCTCTCTCTCTCTCTCTCTCTCTCTCTCTCGGCGCGAAGATCAACGAGTTTTTCGTCTCGCACGTTTTTCGTCGTCGTCGTTTCGCTTGCGATCCATCGAATTACGTTGATGAGGCGCCAATGAGAATCAGGGAGGGGCAGAAGGATCATTATCCTTTTTTTTTTTTTTTTTTACTTGGGGAAATGCATACGCACACCCTGACCCCCGGGGGAGAGCCAGGGTAGTGTGGGACTCGCACCCACTAAAACCCCAAGATGGTCCTCCAGCACCACGGGAGGGAGTCCTGGGAAGCCTTATATTAGACGGCTATACGTCTCGGAACTCCCCCCGGTGCTTGGGTGGCAAGTTACTGCCACCCCGTACCTGACTGCGTGGGGAGAAGTGGGACCACACCACTTCCCCTCATTTCCGTGGGGCCACGTGCAATGACAGGGGAGGGCCCCCGCCCTCCACCCGTCTGGGCCCCGTCACCCCTCACCCACTTCAGGCAGTAGGAAGGGGCACCACTCACCCTCTCATCGCGAGAGGGAGAGGCGGCAGCCGAGGCTACTCGTTCTCGTTGTCACCAGCAGGCCGCGGGGACCTTCGCCGTCTCCTGCGCGCGGGCTGCCCTTGGCGGGCCCGTTCCGCATTCTCCTTGGCGGACATGACTGTGTCACAGAAGGCCACTACTGCCCGCCAACGCCCTGCGTCGCGCAACATGGCGCTGACAACCGCCGGGAGCGACAAGTTGTCGCCAACGTGCGCCCGCAGGGCCGCACGCTCCTGTGCCCACGCTGGGCACTCCTCCAGCGTGTGTTGCGCGCTATCCTCCGCGGAGGGACAGTGAGGACACGCTGGAGTGTCGGCCTTCCGGATGCGGAACAGGTAATCGCCGAACGAATCATGCCCGGTGAGGATCTGGGTAAGGTGAAAGGTGAGTTCACCATGAGCTCGTCCCAGCCACCGATCCAACACCGGGCCAACCGCCTTCCAAACCCTGAGGCCGGACCCACCCGGTGCCAGGAGACGCTCCCGCCACCTGCGTACGAGGGCCCGCTCCACCTGCTGGTTGACCAGCAGCGCCCGCTCGGGGGTGATGTCAACTCCTTCGTTCCGGTACTCCCGGAAACGAAGGAACCGGTCTGCTTGCTGACGCGCAAGCAGGTCCGCCGGGGGAACACGGGCCAGGACCCGGACTGTCTCCAGCGCCGCCGTTTTGTATGCCCTGACCACCCTAGACGCCATTAGGCGTTGCACGGCAGCGTAGGGCACCACGGCACGGCTCCGGCCCAGCGCCTCGTACCACACTGGCGCGCAGTACATCAACACAGAGTGTACGACGGCCAGGTATAACTTGCGCACGTGCTCACGGGGACCCCCCAAGTTGGGGAGCAGACGAGCCAGCGCGGCAGCCACCCTCCGAGCCTTGTCCGCTGTATAGTCGAAGTGGTCCCTAAAGGACCACTTTCCGTCTACCATGAGGCCAGGTACTTGATACACGGTCGTGTGTCCACCTGGGCCCCATCCACCAACACCCGTACCGGACCCCCGCGACCCCCTGGGGACGGAAGACAACCGCCTCCGTTTTCTGGGCCGCGAGGGTGAGTCTCAGTGGTGCGATCCGTTGCGACACTGTCGCGGCAGCAAGAGAGGCATTTAAAGCCGCCTCCTCCTCATCGCGACCTCCCGAAAGAATTAATGTGTCGTCGGCGTAACACACCAAGTCTGTACGTGGCGGCAGCTCGACCCGGAGTACCGCGTCGTATCCCACGTCCCAAAGCAGGGGCCCCAGCACCGACCCCTGGGGGACCCCGCACATAACTCGGTGGAACTGGAGTTGCCCGTCTCGACATGGGTATACGACGTTTCGGCCTGAGAAATAGTCATCGAGGACGGCCAAAAGATAGGTGGGGAGGTTCCATCCACGCAAGGCCGCCCTGATGCCACAGGATCATTATCCTTGTTTATTTATATCTTGCGTGTAATTTTAAATGTTGTAAAAAAAAAAACATTCGACATTCACCTGTGAGAAGAAAACCGAGAAAACTTCAATTGTGAAAAAAAATTCTCATCGCGCGAATTCTCTCTTCCGACAATTTCGAATCACATTATTTCCAAAACTAAAAAACACGAATAATTTGACGGTGATTTATTAATTGCGTCGCTCGTCGCGCGCGCTTTACCGCGAATAAATTATGACAAATGCGCACGATGATTAATTACAAATCAATTAACGTTTTCCCTTTCCCTTTCCCGTTTGATTCTTTTTCCCTCGGCGTAACGCAACGTGACCACAGGGTGTTTTCGCTGTGTAACGTTGCGAACGCTTGTTTAAAATCTGTCATTAATTAGTCACGCTCGCGCGCTGGCCGATACCTTTCCGCGATTGCTGGCTCGTGCACGCGCGTGCGCGCGCGCGTTATCGGCGAGTCATTATTGCCGATTTATTATTCACAACTGTTATTCGAGAACGACCTCGATTTTTCAAGCTCTCTCGTTGCGCGACGTTGAATTTTACATTACCGTCATTCCGTCGCAGCCGTTAATTAGCCTATTCTCGTCTCCCACTCTCCCGTTTTCAATTTTTTTTTTCCCCTCGTCTGTGTTTTCGCTCATTAATAAATGTCAACATTTGGATTGTTGCAGAGGGAGACGACGCAGCGAGATGTGGAACGAGAACGTCGACAACGATTGGAAGCCGAAGCTCGTTTACGCGAGGCTACGGCCGAGGCTGAACGAACTCGCTCGAGAGTTCATCATCTTCAGCGAGAGTTGGCCAGGTGAGAAAAAATTTACGTGAGATTGTTTTTTGTCTCTATCAATTATATCTGTCGTCTGTTCTTTTATCCGTTGTGTAATTTTTTTTTCATTGTTTTCCTTTTCTTTCCGCGTAGATAAATAAATAAATAATCTCTCACGTGGGATCTCGAGAGACTACGTACAGTCTTCGATTTCGGATGTCTGTCTGTGTCTTTTTTTGTTTTTCTCATCACGATGCTTTCACGTATATTTCGAAGCCAATAAGATCATCGATATCACCGGAAACCGTGCAGACAGCATCTCCCGTGTGCGCGCGCGGAAAATCATGTGCAACATAAAAACATATATAAACGTACATCCACAGTCCGTATAACGTATAAATAATGAAACCGGTGTTTTCCCCACGCAATAACCAGCGGATCCAGACGGTAAATTATCGATATCGATTCCCGTCTAATAACAAACACGCACCGCTGCAATCTCTTCCTAAGTGATAACTCTACCTCTACCTATCTACCTCCCCGTTTCGATTTATTATTGCGTATATCGAGGCACAATCGCGCGCGCGACCGTCGAGTATTCGATGCAGTGTCACCAGTAATTAATTTTTTTCTCGATATATCACATCAAAGAAACAGATTTTTCGATATTCGGTCTCACGAGAGAAACGCGATGTGAAAACAAATTAACATTTATAGATTAAATTTTTACACGCAATATATATATATAAACAAAAATACACATGCGTCGAATATATGCGATTTGTGTTAACGTTTTTTTACTTAAATCTTTTGCGTGCGATCGCTTTTCTTTTCCCGACATTTTTCCGAAATATGTGCAGACAATTGCTCGCGATCGCCCGAAGGAAATCAAGACGAATCGAGGAAAAAAAACGTTATTACCAAGCATAAATGAGTTTTATTCTCATCTATCCGGATTGTATATATATCGGGATTATTATCGACGAATTATTCGATCGAAAATGTGTGTAAAAAGATACACACATAATACGTGTATCCGACGATTCGTTTCGCAAAGCCCGTGCGAATCGAGCAAACCCTTCGGATCCTCTCGGTACACTATCGGACACAGACAGAAAAAAAATAGAAGAATTTCCGAACATTTTTTTTCCGATCAATAACACACCGTAGAAATTAAACCGGACGGACGGACCGGGCCGGGCTTATCGACTCTCTCGACTGGCAATAGAAATCGCGGAGCTATTCCCCGCGCGCGCAGAATCGCACAACACCGGCAGAACACGTACGATAGCACGTCTCGAAGTTACGTATGAAAATAATTGAGTTGTTAATTAACGTTTGTTTTGGAAGACATTTTTTAATTTTTATTTTATTCAAACATTTTGTTGATGTGTGTCGTAAAAACAAATCTTATATACAATCTTATATACAAATTGAGAATAAATTCGATTTGCTCCGGATGTTGTAAAATGTGAACGATTGCGCGACTTGGTTCAATTTTCTTCGTGTCCCGGGAATCATTGCAAATCGAATTTAGCGCGAGCAACAGTTGTAAATCATGGGGATTTCGTGTGTTTCGTGCTAACAGAGAGAGAGAGAGAGAAGCGGAAAAGCAAAGATGAGAGGGGTGGTTGTTGCGCGAGAGATCATGCTACTTGGGGAAGCACCCCAGTTTAAGGGTGCAACAATTGTAAGCGTTACTTCGCGATCGATAGCGCGGATTCTCCTGCAGTTTCGCGAAACGACGATGAACACACCGAACACGTGAAATTCACAAGCGTGAAATAACTTGAATTTTATGTGGAGTTTTTACTTTAATTGCTTGTTGCGATTGCAAAAGTGTACTACGTTTCGAGTGTGTGTTGTTTTGTCAGCTAAAGATTTAGATCGCGCGAGCTAAAATACGAATTTACTTCTGAGTGTTAAATGTCAAAAATAAAAAAAATTGAGCAGAATTCGAGCAATTTACTGTGTCAGGGACACAGTAGCGAGGATATCCGCGTCCTTCGAGAAAGGGAGAGTCCTTTCTCGAAGAGAAGACCGCGCGCGAGGGTGTTGCCAAGCAGTGCGGGGGCGGCAGCTCGGCGCGTCCTTGAAAAAGAACTTGAATCGACTTTATATCTCGCCCCTTCTCGCACTTTTAATCAGATCATTAACCCCGCGGAGAGAGCGTTTACAAAGGACTTACGTGCATCAATACCACATTCATTATTCGGAAATTTATATTTTTTCTTAAACGAAACATCTTTGAAAGAAATCTAAACTTTTATCAGGAGTTTCGGTGAAAAAAAAAAATACAATAAAGAGTTTGTATCTTACGAGAGGAGAATCCTTTTCGGTCAAAAGCGAGAGAAGGGAGAAGGGAAGGAGGGAGTTCCTCAGAATCACAGGACAAAGTCGCGACGAGAGAGAGAGCAAATAAATTTCTCCGACGGACACAATGGGAAGATACTGAGGAGAGACTACAAGAATGGTCTCAGTGGCTCATTCAATTAGGGTCTTTTCAGTTCGGGGATTAAAATCCGGGAGCTTCCTCATGCAGACGGATCTGATTTGTTGTTGCAGAATGGAGGAGTCGTCGCGGAGTCTGCTGCAACAGAAGCACCGGGCCGAACAGCTGAAGCAGGAGAAAACGGCACTGACACTTTCCTACGAAGTAAGTAAAGCCGTCTGGATTGTTGTTCCGTAATGGTTTTGTTTGTCGCGCGACGATACGTAACAAACGAGCTAATCAACGTTGACTCGCGTTCAGAGGATAATTGAATATTTAGGAAATCATTCTCTTTTCTCCTCACACACATACATGTATCGTGGGAGCTCGATCTATGCGGAAGCCGCAGCGCGATAACACAGCCTCGTAAAAGGCTTCCCTTTATTCGATAGTGCCGTTTTTTTTTCTCATGACGACGCACCCTTGTTGTATTTTATTATGTCAGCACTTGTGCGTGCCCCCATACGTTGCAATAATCCTTGATTTGATTGCAAATTCAAATTCTCTGCTTGACACTATCTCGAGCGTCGAGTCGTCACAGAACGTTTATCTTCGTTTGAAAAAAAAAAAAAAGAACAAATCGTCAATAAATAACTGAACGAAAAAAGAAGGATCGAGCTTATTTCCTGCTCGTTTCTGATTCCCGCATATCTCGTAAAAGCTCTTGCGGACGATGATTTTCGACGTAAAACGCGTACGCAAGGGACCCGAGCAAATAAAGGGAGGAAACGGTAAACGCAGACGTTTACTACCAATTCTTACGGCATGCGCTATCTCGTTCACGGGCGGTTTAACCCCTAAAAGAGTACCAGGTATTCTCTTTCTCTTCCTCCTCCTCCTTCTCCTCTTCCTCCTCTCTTTATCTGTCTTCTCCCTCGCTCTCTTTTTCTGTCTCTCTCCGCAGCACTTGGGGAGTAAAAAAATAAGTAAGTAAAAGTGAAAGAGAGAGAGAGAGACCGTATCGTTGTCCTTTACAAAATAACATTTAATATCGATCGTTACTCGATCCCCGAGTTCAATGTCGACCCGCCATCATCGTCGACTGTCAATGGCAACTCGCGCAATCCCTATGGGAAGGAAGCGACGTATACTGTTACATCCCGAACGCACGAGAGCGTAGATATTGCCGACACTGACAATCTGCAAAAAAAACCCACGGGATTGAATGACACATCTAGGTTTCTACGAAGAAGACATTAAGAATCCAAACTGAAAATGTGTAAGCTCGTTTTTTGCAATTGAGAGAAATTGGGAAATTTACTTGGAAATTTATTATTTTTGTTTTTTGACGTAAATATATAAAACAAGTGTCGGTCTAACAACTGAAAATTTTAGTATGACAATTTCGCGACCCACGTAATATGCGAAAGGGATTCACGAAAAGAATTCGCGAATAGAAAGACAGACAGATTTGTCCCCATCCCCGTTCGGACTCTCTCGACCGCACGACAGAAAATCGTTGCTTTCCTCATACGGGGCGCGTCTGGAAGGAGGGTACGATAGCGAGAATACCGACTGTTATAAATCAAACGCACGCACCCTCTATTAGCGTCCCCGTCCTCGACAGACTTCTCCGTGACTCTAATTCAACATTAAACGCCTTTCTGCTAATAACGGGTCCGGTTATTATTACACCGCGCTCGGAGAGATCGCGGAGAGACCGGCTCTCGTCGGATAAAGAACGCGCACGCGAGAATTGCGCGTTTGCCCAGAGACTTATCCCGCACTAGTTAAACTTCCCGTTGCGCTGTTTGAACCGGCGCGGTTTGCCTGATCCGAGGGCAAATGGGGAAAATTACATCCTTGAAACCGCGCGCGCGGCTCCGCTTACGAGTTAATTTTAGTCGATGAGTTTTCGCGTTTCTCGACGCGAAAATACACGCGTATATATATACTACTGTGATCAAAAAGTAAGGTGAATTTGTTTATAAAATGTAAATTCTTTATTTATTCATCCAAATCAATTTCATCCCCTTCAAAGTAATCCCCCCCAGATACAATGCACTTATGCCAACGCTTTTTCCAGTCCTCGAAACAGTCGGAAT